CAGGGCACCACAATTTGAGAGAGTTAGAACCACATAGGAAAACACGACCTATGTTAAGATGAGAGAAGACAGACAAAGGGAAAAATGTTTAATTTTACAGTATTGTTACCTGCACACATTAGGGCACCCCACCTTTTCCCAGTCCGTAGGGCTCAGAGCCACCCATACACCCTGACCCCTATGGATTGGGTAACTAACCTGGTCAATGTAAGCACCTACACCCTTTCCCAATACATAGGGCTCTGGGTCCCTACTACTTCTGCAGGTGTGCAGGACCTTTTACCCGTGATAGAGCCTTACACAGTAATTTCCTGATCCTCTATTTATTAACAATTACCAGTCAGAATACACATTAAGCACACAATGCCATGCTCACCAACCCTGATCACGCAGGTGGACTTTCCCTGGTGGCCAGGCCAGGCTGGTCTCATCTTGGCCCTAGTTGCTGCACTTCATGGTTGTGCAGAGGATTCTTAACAGCTCTGATCTCAGGCTGAGTCTTGGGAGTGAGATCTTCTTCCAGGTCTTTCCTTCTTCTTCTTCTTCTCTTCCCAGCCGGTCTCCTTCTTGGACCCCAGTATATATAGTGAAACTTGAGTCCTGCTTAGCTAGACCTCAACCAATCATTTTACTGAAATCCATCTAACAAATCTTAACATATTGTAACATAATTCTCTAACCAATTATAACCCACTACCCTAATTAACTTACACCTAGCAAAATTAATTATACAACAGACAGAAATAATTAAAGAACCAGACAGAAACCAGACAGATAAACAATAGGGAACTGGGGACCATAATGACAAAACAATAAAGAAATGAGGATTTCACAACCACAACTATTGACAAGTGATTTCTTGACAGACAGATGCTGTCAAACTAAATTTCCTTTAACCATCTTAAGATGTGTTTGTGTATCTGCTGCTAGTGGAGCCGTTCGGACGGGGTCTCCTCCTTCCCAGCCGGATCTGACATTGCTTTAATGGAATGTAGATGGAATGTGAGGATGTGACTTCCTGCCTCTCAGCTCATGGCTGCTGCTCTGTTAATCTGGCTGCAGACAGACGCCGCAGGCTTTAGGCCTGACAACATGGCTGCAGACAAAGGCTTTATCCCTACAGCAGGGATTGGCCACCTTTGGCACACGGCTCGCCAGCGTAAGCACCCTGGCGGGCCGGGACGGTTTGTTTACCTGCCACATTCGCAGGTTCGGCCGATCGCGGCTCCCACTGGCTGCGGTTCGCTGCTCCAGGACAATGGGGGCTGCGGGAAGCGGCACAGGAGGAAGGATTTGCTGGCCGCCGCTTCCCGCCACCCCCATTGGCCTGGAGCAGCGAACTGCGGCCAGTGGGAGCCGTGATCGGCCGAACCTGCAGACGCAGCAGGTAAACAAACTGTCCCGGCCTGCCAGGGTGCTTACCCTGGTGAGCTGTGTGCCAAAGGTTGCCGATCCCTGCCCTACGGTATTGCATTGGAAGGTTTTCTGGGGTGAATTTTCAAAGACATGAAGGGCAGTTCGACAGCCAGCTCCCATGGATCCTGGTGCTATTTGGACACCTCACTTGTGTTTGCCCCTTTCACAATTTCCCCTTGTTCCTCTCAAGTCAGGAAGGACAGTGAAGGACGCTGGTGTCTAATTCAGTCCCTTCTGCTAGGCTAGGGGACTGTTGGGACAATGACCTTGGCGTTCTGTGTTGCTAGGGATGGTGGGATGAATAATGCACAGGCTGTGGAATGTTTCTTTTGCTGTGGAGCATTCACCAGTAGTGTAGTTTTGTGTGACTGACACCTGATTACATGGGCTTCCTCCACTATTCTCTACATTAGCTGAAGTCGACTCTAGTAATCAAATCAAATCTAGTAATTACTCTAGTAATCAAACTGCCTCTCATTTTAGAATCTCCCTTTTACCAAGTCACTGTAGTATATGCTAGAGCCGTGAAGCTGGGCGAGTGTAGAAGAACAGATTCACCCCTGCAGCGCCTCCTGCTGGTGACTTCTGGGAATTAGCTCTTCCAGCGTCCTGGAGCACCCCCTGCAGGCCGGTGATCTGCCTGTTCTCTGGCCCCCATGTCCCTCCTGGACTCCGGTGCCCTTGTATCTGGGGTGCTGCCCCCTGGCAGTAACCCCAGTCTTAGGGTCACCCACTGTCCCCACTTCACCTCAGAATAAGGCCACTGCCAGTCACCAACTAGCCCCCGCTCCCTGGGGCAGACTGCAGTATAGGCCACTCATCATCGGCAAAGTTGGGTTTGGACCTGCTGCCTTGGCCTAGCCCTGGGCTGCCCTCTGCAACCCCCACTACCTGTTGGCCTTATGCTAGGCCGCAGCCTGGGGCTTTCCAGGCTAGAGCTCCTCGGCTCCTCAGACTTTCCCCAGCCCTGCTCCACTCAGATACCCTGTCCCAAACCCCCTGCAACCAGGCCCTTCTCCCTCTGTGTGCAGAGAGAGACTCTTGAGCTCTTGGCTCCCAGCCTTCTTATACAGGCCAGCTGGGGCCTGATTGGGGCATGGCCCAGCTGTGGCTACTTCCCCAATCAGCCCAGTAGCTTTTCCCTTTGCCCCAGCCCTCTGCCAGGGCTGTTTTAAACCCCTCAGGCAGGAGTGGGGTAACCACCTCGCTACAGTGAGCCACTTCAGTCCCTTCCCGGGAGCCTGAGGGACCCAGCCTATGCAGTAACTAGTGAAGATGAACCCAGAGGCTTTGCAGAAGAGGCGGAGAGAGTATCCAGGTTTTCTCACATCCCCTCCGGACTCCACCAGTGGAACCTGTGAGCAGACACCTAGAAATAAAGACTATTTAAGGGAATGTAAGTATCTAGGTCAACGGAATAACAACCCCTACCTCTCCAATACATGAAAAGGGAGAAAAGTCTCATTGTCCCTGTGTTTGGAGAGGAGAGTTTTCAGGGGGTTGTTTGGTGACTGCCCAGAGACAGACGCTGCAGCTTGTCTCTTCTGGTGCAGCTGTGGAAGTGAGAGGGACAGATTTAAACAGGAAACTCTCACTCCTCTACAGGGCCGGCTCCAGGCACCAGCAAACCAAGCATGTGCTTGGGGCAGCACATATTCAAGGGCAGCATTCTGGCCATTTTTTTTTTTTTTTTGGTTGCATCTGGCAGCAAATGCCTAGTGCCGGCCCTGGCGGCAGCAGCATGTCGTGGGTGGGGGCACCCTGTATACGCTGCCGTTCACGCTGTGGGGGAGCAGCGCCCACACTTTGTGGCTGGGCCGGGCAGGCTTCGAGCGGGGGACACTCAGGCTGGGGGACACCCCACGGGGCACACGGAGCTGCATGCAGGTGCCACAGGGCGGCCGCCCCCAGCGCCGAGGCTGAGCGAAGCGGCCCGAGCCACCCAGGGACTGCGACAGGGCGGCCAGAAGCAGCAGCAGCAGTGGGGCCATAGAGAGCGGGGCGCTGTCATGCGGGGCCTGTGTCCTGCTCTCCAGGGCTCCGCTGCCTCTGGGGCTACCCTGCCCAGGCTCCTCAGACCTCTATGGGGGCCGTCCCCTGGCTCTGCCCTCCCAGGTCCCAGCCAGTCCTGGAGGCGGGAGCCCTGGATGGAGGAACCCTGGGCTGAGGCGCGGCCTGGGAGCCCCGCTGCTTACCCCGACCCTGCCTGCGCCAGACCAGCTGGAGGTGAGGGGGGAGCGGGCAGAGTCATCACTGGTGGGGGGGAGCCCAGGGCTGGGGTGGGAGGGGGTGTGGGGGGGGAGAGAGAGAGCCCAGGGCTGGGGTGGGTGGCAGCCAAAAAATTTTTTGCTTGGGGCGGCCAAAAACCTAGAGCCGGCCCTGCTCCTCTATGCATATCCCCCTTCTGATAAGAGACTCCAATTATTTCCTAGAGCAAACTCAGTTTCTTTGTGTGTGGCTGAGAGAAGGGCCGGAATTTAACTCTGGGGTACCCCCCTCTCCCAGTCGGGGTCCTAGCACCATTGGATTAGCGCTTCCTATGTGACTATAAGGAGTCCAGTTCACATCTTCTTTGTCCTCGCCCTAACTCCCACATTTACCCCTAACCCTAAGGATAAACCCTCACCTTAATCTTTGTATTGAGCTGAACCTGAGAGCTAAAGGGATACCTTAGTTCTATCACTAAATCCTGACTTCATCCCTGAAGGCAATTCTAACCCTCAGTATAAATTCTAACACTGACTTTTAATACTAGGCCTCACCCTCCATTGCTACCTTGAAACTAACACTAAAGCCTGTCCTAAAACCTAACAATAAAACCAAACCCACAATTTAACACTTAACTGAACACAAATCTAAATTTGTACTGTAACCCAATTTCTAAGGGTGACAAATAACCTTAATCTTTAACATTTACCCTAACCCTAACCTTAAATGTATAAACTAACCATAATCCTAAATTTGGTCCTAATATTAAACATGACGTGTCACATTAACCTTTAACTGTAACCTGAACCTCAACTTTATTCTCTGTCTCTAAATCCTAACCCTATTTATAACCATAAATCTTAACTCTAGCCCTAAACCTAGAGCTAATCTTAACACTAAATTTAATCCTACCCGGAGGCCTGAACTCTTGCTGTAACCCTAAAGTCTATACCTTAAACTGTAGCCTTAATACATGGGCAGATAGAATTATGTGATAATGTTAATGGAGGTGGGGCAGAATAAATAAAATCACATAATGTTTAGTAGTCTTGGAGGCAGAAGTGTCAATACTCCATTGTGGTTTATTGAAAACTGCTTTAACGTTTGAAGCCATCATTTTAAGTTTGAAAGGAGTTTTCTTCTCCTGCATGCAGGCTGTTGGACTCAGTAGGGAAACTTGTGAACTGGATTTTTAACAGTCACTTTGCAAAGAGCCATGGTAGATCAGGATGGGGATGAGTTGTGCCTTTCTCCCTTCGGGAGCAGCCTGCTTTGTCTCTCTCTGTCTTTGGTTCTTGTGTGTTAGGGGTCTGGATTCTGAACAATAATAAAGCACTATAAAGTTACTGCCTTTCAGGAAGAATATTGTATGTGTGTGTGTGTGTGAGAGAGAGAGAGCTTTTCTGTGTGCATGTCCTTTAGGCTGCTTGTGTAAATAGAGGTGGAGCTGTCTTTGGAGGTTATGAGTCTGCCCCCAACCCCCACCCCTCAGGGTTGTAGGCCAGTAGCTGTTGGTACAGGAAGTATGATAGTAAAGTGTCCACTCCCACTTCTTCCCAGAAGCCTTTTGGATCCAAGGCATGATGTCCAGGTTCACCTTACATCCATCTACAGCGCATGTCAGACTTTTTCACTGTTCAGTCTGATTTGGTCAGGACAATCTACCAAAAGACGCTGTGGAGAGGAAAGCAATTGGTGAGAAGTGATATGAATAGTGAATAATTAAATTTAAAAGGTCAGGGCGCCCGACTCTGCCTTGATGGGAACCTTATGAGGCTGTTCCCAGCTGTGCAAAGAGGAGGGAGGAATGATTTGCGCCCACTTTGCTCTTACATCCCTTAGGTGTTAGAGGAGTTGAATGGCGGTTTCATTTGTGTCAAATCAACTTCCCAGGCCAGTCCCTTGAGTTAGAGCAGGAATGACTCTGTCCTCAAAGTGTAGTTCAACTATATGTTCCAAAAATCGATGTGAGAGTCCAGTCGGTCAAATGAAGTTTCGTAATGCAAAGAGCATCGTGGTGGGACGGGAAGGGAGCCCCAGTGAGTCAGGTCTTTTGTCTGAGGTGCTACTGTCAGTATGTAACCAGGAAGTGGGAGCTGTCAGCTTTGCATGTACTGGATTGACCCGAAGGGGGTTAAGCTGGAAGCAGGGAGTGTGTGGGGCCTGGGTAGGTGTATGGAGCGCTGGGTTCTGGTGGGTAGCCAGAGAATCTAGCAAAGGCTGTGAGGGTCTCTCTTTAATACATTGCCTGATACTTGACCAGAGATCACACACGCTATGGAGCGATGGGCCACAAGATGGAATATTGTCTGGGAATTATATACATAAAACCTGACTTTACTCCAGGCCTGATGACCATTTGGGGTATTGTTTAAGGATCTGCAGCCCCCTGTGGCCCATGGGATAAGGGACGGCGTTGTGAGGACAAAGGCAATAGCCTCATGTAAAGGGTGGGGATGGCACGGTGAGGGGCCCCACATCGGTTATAATGAACTAATCACCTTTTGCTGCATTAATGCGCTAAACGTCCCAGTTTGCTGAAAGGGCCAGAGCCTTCCTGCTGTAAATCAGGAGTAACTCAAGTGTAGTGAAAGCAGTTGTGGTGACTTTACACTAGCAGAGAATTTGGACCCAGGAGCAATTCGCTCCATCCGTTGGGTGCTGGAGGGGAAAGTTCTCAGGAACTGGCTGGTAACAGCTCAGACCCAGGGACTGCGGATTGTGTCTCTGGGTGCAGCCTGGGCAGAGAGAGACACAGATTTTAAACAGGAACCTGTCTCCCTCATTTGCATGCCCCCTCTTTATAAGAGACACACACTCCTGCTGCCAGTGATCTGACTGACTCGCCCTAGGGCTCCGGGTGCGGGAGTCAGACTGTCCCGTCCTGTGTGTCTGTGCAGCACCGGGCACAGGGCACTCGGTTCTCCTGACACTTTCGGACCCCTGGGAGGAATGACCAGCTCACTGCAGTGACTGTATTTCCTCACCCAGGAACTGAGGGACTGGCTATTGTGAGGTGATATTGGGGAGACTCAGCTCTGGAGCCCCGTTCCACGTGCACAAGGGCCATGCAATGTCCGGTCAGGGGGGTCAGTGTCTGGGGAGGGGTCGTGTCCCAGGGATCCATTGGGCTGGACCACCCACTGGAGAGGGAAGATTTCCCAGGGCGCTGGGAGGGATTTGGGACGGAAGCCCCTTTCCCTTCCCAGCAGTCACTGGTTACATTGAAATGATCCATGACACTAGGGACATGATCTGAGCAAGCCTGGCTCCTGCTTTGGGCCAGGTCTGGGGCCTGCCTGTGGGTGCAGGTCGGAGAAGCTGGGGTGCGGGGGGCGGGGGGGAGTCTGAGGATGGAGTTAAGGTTTTGCAGTGGAGCCTCCCTGACATTAGTGGGCCGAGAGCGGCGTGTCTGGGAGTTTTTCTTTAGGGGAGAGTCAAGGGAGGATTCAGGCTACAGTGAAGGAAGATTATTCTGCACGGCTGATATTTATATTCTTGTTTATATTCCTGTTCCCAGTCACACTCCACTTCCCATTTACACTCGGATTGTAAACTCGGTGCAACTGAGAGAGGTTTTATGGTCTGTGTTTGTACCGTGCCTAGGACTGTGGGAGCCTAGACTATCATTAAGAACGTAAGAACGGCCAGACTGGGGGTCAGACCAAAGGTCCATCTAGCCCAGTATCCTGTCTTCCAACAGTGGCCAGTATCAGGTGCCCCAGAGGGAATGAACAGAACAGGTAATCAGGGAGTGATCCACCCCCTGTCGCCCATTCCCAGCTTCTGAAGACCCTAAGGAAGACAGCTGCCCAACTCCTAAGAAATTTCTGCCAGATTTTAGTACCTAATTCCCCGAGGTCCCTTTTAACATCCTGGGCAACATGTACTCATATCCGGAAGTTTCTAAACTACTATCTCTAACAGCCATTTTGAAAGGAATGCAGGCAACTGGTGGGATTTTCAGAAACCCCTCGCTGCCCAACGCCCATTGCAATCAATGAACTTTAGGCTCCTAAGTGCTTTTGAATATTCCCTTAGGCACCTACATGCCTTTGAGAATCTGGATCCTCGGCTCCTGATTAACGTAGGTGCTTCTCAAAACTTCACAGATCAACATCATTTCTTCAGTCAGTCGTTTTCTGTCTCTTTCGATATTTCTCTTTCCCAACCAGTGTGGAAGGACGGGGTTTGCTAGTTAGTTAGTTTATTTCTCAACCCCTTGGAATGTCTGTAAGATTGAATTTTGCTGGACAAGAACTGGGAGCGATTTTAGAAATATTGCGACCAGGGGGTTGAGGAATGTCACTAAAGCTCATGATCCTCCTCTTTGTTGTGTCACTTAGCTCCACAGATATGTAGAAAATTCCCTCAGATTCCTTACCCGCATCACATTTCCATTTTCTTTCACTTACATGCATTTCTATGATGGGAATAACATCTCTTTCCATTCTGATTGTCTCCCTGCGCTAATCAGAATCTGCTTCCCCTTTTTGTACCAGGCCCTGCTTTGCTCTGTATCACTGTGTACCCTCTGGCACAGTAATAGGTGGCGGTGTCTGCAGCTGTCAGCGAGCGGAGCTGCAGGGAGAACTGGTTCTTGGAAGTGTCTTGTGCGATGGTCGTTCGACTCTGCAGAGAGCTGGCGTAGTTAGTGTGCCACTGGCTCGGTCTGTAGTAAATGCGCCCTACCCATTCCAGCCCTTTCCCCGCGGGCTGCCGGATCCAGTCCCAGGTGGCGCTGGTGCTAGAAACCGAGTCTCCGGAGATGGTACAAGTGAGTGTCAGGGACTCCCCGGGTTTCACTGCTCCCGGGCCCATTTCCTTCAGCTGCACTTGGGAGAGGACACCTGGGAAGGAAACACAGAAATGAATCCGTGAGCCAGGCTCCTATCCCCTGGGAATGGGGAACATGAGAAAATAAAACACCCCGTGGCAGTGCTTAAGGGAGTGGGGCAACCAACTGTCACTGAACTCCATTGGCATCTCGGCACCTCATTCCCTTGGAACATCTCTTCTGCAGTCACTGCAGCAATGAACCCTCAGGACCACCAATAGACACGTACCTGAAGGGGCCTCCAGCATGAACAGGAAAATCAGCAGCAGGTTCATCTTAAGTGAAGGTGCAAATTATCCCCAGCAGCCAGGACCAGGCAGTTCTGTGTCTGGGGAGAGACTGGGGCTCTTCCAATCCGGGGTTTATATTTAAACAGGAACACCCCCCCGGCGGGGGGCAGGGATTTGCATGCCTGTTTCACAACGTGAATATAAGAGATGACAGAGTTTGATTTTTTTTTTTGTTTACACATGGGGATCTCTCCCTGGGACACAGTGAATTCAGCTCAGCAAAGTGTGAAACCGCCTAAGGTATTTGGACACCCAAATTAAATTTAAATAAATAGGATTTGGTCATTTAACATTCTTAATGGTCTTTGAGCTTCTCATACAAATATAAGTGCAGGACAGCGCCTTCTTAGGAATGAAGGAATATTTGGAGAAGGGAAATTATACCTCTTTTCTTGTGTTTTTCGTTGGGATTTCAAAAGC